CACCGCTCAGGGGTGGGGGCTTGGAGGGTGAACATTACGTCCCCCCACTTATTGTTATTTAGGGCCCCCACCCGCCGCACAGGGGTGGGGGCCGGGGGGAGGACCTTAGGTCCCCCCTTATTGTTATTTAGGGCCCCCACCTGCCATGCAGGGGTGGGGGTCAGGGGGGAGGACATTAGGACCCCCTTATTGTTATTTAGGGCCCCCACCCACCGCTCAGGGGTGGGGGCTTGGAGGGTGAACATTATGTCCCCCCACTTATTGTTATTTAGGGCCCCCACCCGCCGCACAGGGGTGGGGGCCGGGGGGAGGACCTTAGGTCCCCCCTTATTGTTATATAGGGCCCCCACCTGCCATGCAGGGGTGGGGGCCAGGGGGGAGGACATTAGGTCCCCTCTTATTGTTATTTAGGTATAGATCACCACACCCAGGAGCCCACACACAAAGTGGCGATATCACAATTAGGGTTGTCTGCAAAATATTCAAAGACCCTTGAAGATGATGCTCAGCAACCTTTTTCCGGTTGTCATGTTAGATGCCATGTTGTGTAATGGATGGAGGGCCGCATTGATCTATATAACTACTCTTCCCTCATTTCTCACTTCCATTGACCCTCTTCTTTAGCAGCATAAACCCCATGTTCTCCCGCCGTGCCACCATATTTAGGGCCCCCATCCGCCGCACAGGGGTGGGAGTGGGGAGAGGACATTAGGTCCCCCCCATTTTTTATTTATGGCCCCCACCCACCGCTCAGGGGTGGGGAAGGGGGGGAGAACAGTAGGTCCCCCCTTATTGTTATTTAGAGCCCCCACCCGCCGCGCAGGGGTGGAGGCCGGGGGAGGACATTAGGTTCCCCCTTATTGTTATTTAGAGCCCCCACCCGCCACGCAGGGGTGGGAGCCGGGGGGGAGGACATTAGGTCCCCCCCCCAAATTTTTATTTATGGCCCCCACCCACAGCTCAGGTGTGGGGGCGGGGGGAGGACTGTAGGTCCCCCCCCTTTTTTAATTATGGCCCCCACCCACCGCACAGGGGTGGGGCCGGGGGGAGGACAGTAGCCACTGGCTGCTCACTGTTTACTAGACACGCCCCTACTCGCGATATAGCGAGTAGGGGCTGAATTTACTAATACTAAGTAATCTTTACTTAGTATTAGTAAATGTAGCTGAAAGACCAGTTTAGCCTTTTGATAGATAGCTCCCTAATACCGTGTGAATTAGGGAGTTATCTACTAAGCGGCTGCTTATTTTATGTTATTTTTAAGTGATTTACCTATCCACATTTGTTTGCAGGGCACTTGTCCTACTCTTACCCCCATTTTACTTCCTTTTGCAGCCCTCTAGCCCTTTCCAGGAGTTTTTTAGAGCCATTTTTGTGGCCAAAAGTTCGGGTCCCCATTGACTTCATAGGCGTTCGGGGTCAAGTTCGGGGTCAAGTTCGAGCCCGAACCCGGACTTTTTTTCAAATTTCAGCCGAACCCGCCGGACCCGAACATCCAGGTGTCCGCTCAACTCTAGTTATAATACTTTTTTTTGGACTAACAGATTTTTGTAATGACAAGCTTTTGGGAGAACCTCCATTTCTCAAGTCTAAAGCATTTCAAATGTCTAGTAGTCAATATTAATAAAGTGCATTGTGAATATATAAGCACTAAATAATATTAAAGTGCACTCAATTAATGTTTTTTGCTTACAAATTTCATGTTAACAACCTGTCACAAGTGCTGAGTACAAAAAGTGAAAATTAGTATGATTACCTTAACCTGTATTACAATCAAGTTTTCAAAAATTCTGATGAATCCAGCATTAGGTAAACACATTTATAAATAAAAGTACCAAACACATTTATAAAAAATACATCTATTTCACAGAAATAAGTGGTTAAGTAAAAGCTGCAAAAATGCTTAAATAGCTGGTTACTTCAAAGCAAGAAAAGTGCTTACGTTTCTAAAATGCTTAGTAAACAAAGTGCAACAATAATTTAAATTAAATGCAACATTGACAATGTATACTTACTAAAAAAAAATTCCACCAGATTCATTAAATGAAGGAAGAACTAAATCATTTTTAATATGTATTGTCCTTTTAGCTTTATAATTTTTGTACAGATATCTATTTTCAATTCTTGATGCTCGTTTACTTCTACACTGACAACTGTGGATATGTCATTATATCCCTCCATAGATTGCAGTGTTGTACTCTCGCGCATGTACGCGAGTGCAGCACTGAGTTGGGCTCCTGGTAGGTGAAGCACCAGGAGCAGAAGAACAAAGGTGACGGTGCCCGCGGCGGACACCATCATGTAAGTATAGATCACCACACCCAGGAGCCCACACACAAAGTGGCGATATCACAATTAGGGTTGTCTGCAAAATATTCAAAGACCCTTGAAGATGATGCTCAGCAACCTTTTTCCGGTTGTCATGTTAGATGCCATGTTGTGTAATGGATGGAGGGCCGTATTGATCTATATAACTACTCTTCCCTCATTTCTCACTTCCATTGACCCTCTTCTTTAGCAGCATAAACCCCGTGTTCTCCCGCCGTGCCACCATTCCCTCAATTCTCACTTTCATTGACCCTCTTCTTTAGCAGCATACACCCCGTGTTCTCCCCAGTACCACCCTTCCCTTAATTCTCACTTCCATTGACCCTCTTCTTTAGCAGCATACACCCCGTGTTCTCCCCCAGTACCACCCTTCCCTCAATTCTCACTTCCATTGACCCTCTTCTTTAGCAGCATACACCCCGTGTTCTCCCCCAGTACCACCCTTCCCTCAATTCTCACTTCCATTGACCGTCTTCTTTAGCATGATAAACTTCATGTTCTCCCCCAGTGCCAGCCTTCCCTCAATTCTCACTTCTATTGTCCCTCTTGTTTATTAGTGTCCCCCCAGTATAATGATGGGTGATCATGTGATCATATGTTGGGTTTAAATATGGAAGTCTTTTCAGTTAGCTTTTTAGAAGACAAAAAGAGCCTTCACCACACTGTGATTAGTAGGCCTGCTTTGGCATTGAAAGGGTTGATTCGACATCCAGAATGCATGCATTGCCAAATTAATGCTAGCCACTGATTTTATGTCAGAAAATTGCCTTTTCCATACCCAGAACGTTGCTACAACAACTAATAAATGACTAATTCTTTATACTTTCCTAAGGAACAGTTTTGCTCTAGAATAGATGGAAGCTTTTTATTTCTGCCAACACAGCTCAGCTATATCAGCTAGTAAATTACATGATTTTGCTATTACATGACGAAAAGTCATGATTTTATTAAAGACACAGAGGCTCATATTGCATATCCCTTTCTTTACTGTCCACCAATAGCAGCAAAGAATACAAACAGAATGAAAAAAATAATGAACATTCAGTAACATAGGCCCCTCGCCGCTCAGGTCCCAGTATAATAGGCAGCACTTCCCTTCCATTTCCCTCTTTCTGAAGATGCGACCAAAGTAAAAATGTCCAAACCAGGAATTATGAAAAAAAAGTCCCAAGGTAACAACTTAAAACTGAAGAGGGTAGAACATCAATAACTGGGAAGCCATAGGATTCATAGGACCACCGGATAACAGCGGGGGGAGTCCTCCTAAGTCGGATGACTGCTTGCCTTCTTGTCGAGTTAAGCTGTGAAAACATAAAGGAACAGGGGCCGACAGGTGAAAGTCGATACTTGCAACTAGTTTCAGGTTAAACGGGTGAGAAATAACTCACAAATGCACAGTCCCACAAAAAGAGAGATTTACCATTACGTTACATAAACATCATTCTCGCAGTATGGCCCCACTTACCGTACGAAACCATTCGATGTGGTTTGTTGTAGCGTGTATTAAACCTGGGAGGGAAAAATTATTATAACCGTGTAAGAATAAGACGGGTGGGACAATACTCGTCTCCGTGTCTTTAATAAAATCATGACTTTTCGTCATGTAATAGCAAAATCATGTAATTTTATAACAAGACACGGAGGCTCATATTGCATGTTTAAAGCTGATCCATTACCACAGCGAATGTATGTGGGGCCGGGCGAAAGTAAAACTCCCGGAATGTAGACTCCCTTGACCAGTCGGCCATCCTCATAATGTCCTCCAGACGCGCGCCTGCAGTCATCATCGAAGAGGCTGAGGCCCCCCGGACCGAATGGGCGCCAAAGACCGTGGTATCAATGCCTGCCTGGGACAACAGCCATTTTACTCATCGTGACAAGGTTGTGCTAGAAACCGGGTGGAAAGGGGGACGAAACAATAAGAGGTGGTGGAGCGATGAGAGTTGGTGCGAGTTTCGTATTTGCGTAGGCAGGCCACTGGACATAGTGACGGAGAGGTAGGGAAGCTAGGGTAGGATACCGATTTGATAGAAGTCTTAGTCCGCCGGCTGATGTTGAATGTGACCCCGTCTGGGGTATATGACCTGGCGTCGAAATCCAGTGCTCTGACATCCGAGACGCTCTTGCATGAGACGAGGCAGAGCAGGCAAACCAATTTGGCAGATAGCTGCTTTAGGGATAGTCCTGAGTTAGAGGGCCAGGATGAGAGGAAAGCCAACACAACGGAGACGTCCCAGGTCGTGGAGTAGCGAGACCTGGGTGGTCGTGAGAATCGAGAGCCCTTGAGGAGTCGGCACACTAAGTTGTGCTGTCCCGCGGGGCATCCATCGAAGCCTTGGTGAATCGCTGAGATGGCAGACTGGTAAAGGTTGATAGTCCTGTAAGCCTTTCCAGCCTCGAAGAGGGACGTCAGAAATTGCAGGACCATGGTTACAGAGGCCGAAACGGGATCCACGTTCCTAGCCATGCACCAGCCAGCCCAAGCTCACCAAGCAGACCCATATGCTCCTCTAGTGCCGGGAGCCCATGCCGCCAATAGACGTCTAGTCGTGTCCGAAACTCTTTGGATCTCCCAGGGTCCCCCGAGATCCGCCATGCCAGGAGTGGGAGAGAGCCTTCTAAGCGGAGGAGATGACATCGTCCCATCGGGTCCCGCAGCAAGTTGTGGCACTCTGGCAGTAGTCGGGGATAGTCCATCGTCATCTCGAGCATTTGGGGAAACCACGACTGCGTTTCCCAAAAGGGAGTCACCATGACCACTTCTGACCGGTGTTTGCGGGTCTGCAGGAGTGAGCACGGGATCATGGAGAATGGGGGAAAGGCATATAGGAGGCCTCCGCTCCAGTCTTGCAGGAAGGCGTCCACTGCCTCCGCCATTGGATCTGGCCTCCAGCTGAAGAAGCGTGGCAGCTGGGCGTTGAGCCGGGAAGCGAAAAGGACGATGGTAAATGGTCCCCAAAGAGACGATATATTGGAGAACACCTCCTTGGCCAATCTCCAGTCGCTGGTGTCTGAAAGATACCGTGAACCCCAATCTGCCTGGACGTTGTGCAGGCCCGGTAAGTATTCCGCGTAGATCATCAGGTTCTGTTCCAGGCAAAACTCCCAAAAGTCTTTCGCCTATCTAGCCAGGAATGCCGACTGTGTACCACCCAGGTGGTTGACATATCTCACGTTGTCCATGCGGAGCCGAATGCATGTTAGGGCTCGGTCCCTGGCAAAACTGCGGATGGCGAAGGAGCCTGCCAGGAGTTCCAGCGCGTTGATGTGCAGCCGGGATTTGGATTCCGACCAACGGCCCCCTGTCGAGACTCCCTCGCAGTGGGCCCCCCAGCTGTGGAGACTCGCATCTGAGTCAATCGTGAATTCTGGCATTGAACCGAAGATGGCTTTGCTGTTCCACGTGAACAGGTTGAGAATCCACCTTTGCAATTCGTCCTTCGTCTCGCTGTCTAGTGACACCAGGTCCGCGTAGGATGCACCGGCGATCTTCAGGCGTTGTAGCGCTTGGTAGTGGAGCGGGCCTGGAAACACAGCCTGTATCGAGGAGGCCAGAAGGCCGATGAGTCGTGCAAGCTGGCGCAAGGAGAGCTGGGGCTGGATGAGGGCCCTGCGTAACTCCTTGCGGATGGAGCAAATCTTGGATATCGGAAGGCTCAGCGTCGCTTCCCCTGAATCCACAAGGAATCCTAGGAATTCCATGCGAGTGGAGGGGGTTAGGCATGACTTTTCCCAGATGTTGATGAAACCTAGACGGGAAAGGAGGCTTATGGCCAGCCGTAGATGTGTAAGGAGGGTAGAACGCTCCTGAGCCATGAGGAGAATATCGTCTAGGTAAACGATTAGCCAGACTCCCCGACTGCGTAACCAGGCCATGAGGAGAGGCAGAAGGGTAGGCAGGTAAACCGCCAAGTCTCGTGGCGCCAGTGAAAGCGTAGGAGGTCTCGAGATGCCATTGCTATCGGCACCGTCAGGTACGCGTCCTTGAGGTCTAGCTTCGCTAGCCAATCTCCGTGGAGGAGAAGATCTCTTAGTAGGTGAATACCTTCCATCTTGAAATGGCGGTACCTGACTATGGCATTGAGGGGACGCAGATTTATGACGGGTCTCAATTGACCGCCTTTCTTTTCCACCAGGAAGATGTTGCTTATGACACCTGCGGGGTTGAGAGGTGCTCGTTCTATAGCCCCTTTGGTGAGGAGGGTGGAGAGTTCCTCATCGATCCGTCTGCGATCCTGGAGTGAAAAGCAGATCGGTCGAGGAGGGGGAATGTGTATCAGATGGTTTATGAGTTCTATGTGGAAGCCCTGAACAGTGGTCAGCACCCAGGGGTCTGATGTTATTTGTGACCAGGCTGGGGAAAAATGTTGGAGTCTGCCCCCTACACAACCCAGGGAAGAAGTATGAGGTAACTCACCGTATGGTCGTCTTGAACTTGAGTTGCCCCGAAAACCTCTGGACCGCCATGGATGTCCGCGTGATGGGAAGAATGTGGGGCGGTGGTTAGATTCCTGGTACTGCGTATGGTGTTGGAAGGAGCCTCTTCCCGTGCCACGGGATTGGGGGTAATTGCGGCCGGCCAGACGGCTCTTAAATCTGCCGGCCCTGGTGGAGACCCACCCCTGGAACACCCGTCTCCTGGAGGCCTGGGCCTTATCTAGGGCTGTGAAAGCTCCAACAAAACGCCCCAAATCCTTAATAAAGGAGTCTCCGAAGAGTAATCCTTGGGCGTCCTTGCCCGCCTCAGTGAGGGCGAGGTTGGCCAGTTTAGGCTCAATTTTAAATAATATGGCCTTACGCCGTTCTATTGATAGGGAGGTATTCACACTCCCGGCAATACATATTGCTCTCTGGACCCAATCATGTAGGTCTTCGGGGTCAACCATGCGGTTCTCCACTCTGGCGTCTTCCGCCAAGTCAAATAATTTGGCCAAGGGGCCGAATATGTCCAGGTGTTTGTCCTGGCAGGACTTTAATGCAGATTCCAGCCCCTTACAGGGGTTCCAGCCCAATTTGTTGAGGAACTGGGTCATCTTGGGGTCTACCTCAGGAGTGTCGCAAACTTTATTAGGCACCACAGGCCTAGGACACTCTGCCCTCAATTTGTTGCGGGCCGCTTTCCTCAGGGGTCGCCTGACCCAATTTTCCAAATATGTGGCAACATGGTCGACCGGGAGCCACTCTGCCGATCTCGGATGGTGTAGGTCATCCGGGTCGAAGAGTGGGACATCCGATGGATCCACAAGGGTGGACCCCGCGGCCGTGGGGCTCCTGATCCCTGTATCACCTCCGGGTGTCTCTGCCTGAGCAGAGGAAAGGAGGTCAAAGCCTGTATCAGCGGCATCCGCATCAGAGTCACTATCCGACTCAATCTTAGCCTCCTCATTTGACCCGATTTCTGAGTCGGAGTCGCTCTCTAACTGTGCTCTGCACATTTCCATAGCCGCGCCCGGTCTGCCTGCCGAGGAAAGGCTCTTTTACGTGGATGCAACACGCTTTCTGGGGCGACCGTAGGTACGCCAGTCATGGTGTTTCTGGAGGCAGAGGGATGTTTAGACTTATGGGTAGCCTTTTTATATATCTCTCACAGTGGGACGCGTTAAAGGCGTCGAGGAGCCCGAGTATTGCTCGTCCGAAGGACGTGGCAGGAGGGCCTGTGAAATGGTGTGGGAGAGGGTAGAGGACATAGACCCCATGGCCGCCATAATGACATCTGTCACCGAGCGCTGTAGTGCTTGGAACTGTGCCCCATCAGGGTGGGTAGTTCCGTCTGTCATAGTGGGCGAATTGCCTGAGGTGACAGGGGCCTCACTCCTAATGAGTGGGGTATCAGACTCCCCAGAAGGAGTGGACCCAGAAGATAGTCTGGGTTTAGGCATGTTAGAATAGCTAGAGAATATTACCTAACAAGTAGCAGGAATAGTATGGGTTAGTCACCCAAACAGCAAAAGCCAAACAAAAAACGCTCTCACCAGGGCCCAGACCAGTGGCACACTCAGATGCAGGGTAGGAAAGAAGACAGGAAGTCTGAAAATGGCCACAAGTAATCTCGCGAGATTAGCGGCATCCGCGAGATTCGCGGCACAAAAACGAATGTTCGGTAGGTAAGAGGTGAATTCGGGAACCAGATAGGTAAGTATAGGGGGAAAATATAAAGTAGGCGAACGGGTTGTTCGCATAAAAAATTTGAATGCGGCAAACAAGCGAACGCGCTATCTGCCGAATGGAGAATGGTATATATGCGTGGCGAATCAGTCAAATAGGCTTAATTCGTGTGCATACACAGCCGGGTAGGGGAGAAAACGTGCGCAAAATGGCGCTGAGGGCATGGAGGAGGAAGGAAAGGAGGATAGAATACAGCAATATAGAGTGACAGGGGAGGTCTGGACCCTGGGTAAGTGAAAGAAACAACAGTGCACAGAAAAACCAATGCAGGATAAAGACATCCAAATATAATAAAACAATATAATACTAGATATGAAGATAAACATAAAATAAATATATAAAATAAGTGTAAAATAAATACAAAATAAATGCAAAACAATATAATAATAATAATACAGAATACTACCAGTTAGCAACTGTATAATAAATCAATTAGAAATAACCAGTACAATAGAAAAATATGAAGAGAAAAAAGTGACATGTACTTATCTTTGTGTCGGAGCAGCAAAGAAAGAGGGAAATGGAAGGGAAGTGCTGCCTATTATACTGGGACCTGAGCGGGGAGGGGCCTATGCTACTGTATGTTCATTATTTTTTCATTCTGTTTGTATTCTTTGCTGCTATTGGTGGACAGTAAAGAAAGGGATATGCAATATGAGCCTCCGTGTCTTGTTATAAAATCACATTTTGGCTGGGCTTTGCTGTCATTGCAATTTTGTAACACCATCTAGCAAATCGTGCCACAAGCATACAGCAATCCAATAAATATCTAGTTATAAACAGAAAACGATGTATAACATCTTACTGATCAGTTACAAAAATAATACAGTTTAAAGGAACTAATCCTGATGAATTTAGCATGGGGATTGTCAATGACGCTTCAAATTATTGAATTTGATTATTATCTCATGTTGTGCCTCTAGAGGATGCTGTGGTGCAACCTTTAAAATATATTTTATGGTTCTTTGGCCTTATGCTTGCCAACAGCAAAACAACTCAGTGCAATAAGAATCCAACAAAAGCCATCAATTACTACTCTGTGGTTATCGATAGGGGCGTAACAGTATTCGTGGACGAATGTCAATAACTGCAAAATATACAGATACAGTTAACACTTTATTTGAGGTAAGAGAGCAACTACTACTTAGGATTTTTTTTTTTATATTGCCCATTGTGATTGCAAGAGGGGCTGATACTTGGTAATGATTACGTACAGCAAAAAGCCCTCAATACAGGTCCTAAAACAACAGTCCTGTTCTCTTTTCTGGTACTTAAAAGTAAAGTAAGCATGTAAAATGTACACTATACACTATATGGACAAAGGTATTTGGACACCTGACCATTACACCACCAGAGACTTTTATGACACTGCAGATATAAAGATGTAGTTGGTCGCCCTTTTGCAGCCATAACAGCTTTCACTCTTCTGGAAAGGCTTTCCACCAAATCTTGGAGTGTTTATGAAGGAATATTTGCCCATTCATCCAGTTCAGTATTTGTGAGGTAAGGCACTGATCTTGGATGATAAGGCCTGGCTTGCAATCTCTGTTCCAGTTCATCTGAAAGGTTTTCAACGAGGTTTAGGTCAGGGCTCTGTGTGAGCCAGTCAAGTTCTTCCACACCAAACTCATCCAACCATGTCTCTATGGACTTTATTTTGTGCACTGGGGCATAGTCATGCTGGCATAAAAAAGGGTCTTCCCCACACTGTTCCCACAAAGT